AGGAGCCAGGGGAGCGGGGCGCGCAGCCCGGGGGCGAGAAGGAGCTGAAAAGCGACGTGATCCCTGGCTCCTGTTCATGACACTCCCAGGCCCGTCCGCCCCGTAAAAAAAAACCCTTTAATAATCTCTGAGCCGCCGCTTCCCGCCGAGAACGGCACCCCGAACTGGAAGGGAAACTGCGGGGTCCATTGGCGCCGCACGGGGAACCATGGACTCAGCGGGCGCGCAGCCTGGGGCCACTCAGCCGCGTTTGGGGTCCCCTTCCACCCGCCCTGAGCCCAGCGGGTGGATGTTTCCGCATTTAAAACCCCAATTACGCGGGGGCCCCATGTCCGAGTCAAGGGCGAAACCTGACTTTCCAGGCCCGCCCATGTGCCCTGGAACGTTCGAACCGTTTCTGCAGGCCTTGAAGGACATGGCCAGAGCTTAGCTTTTCCAACCCCCTTTTAGGGGTCACCCTGTTTCAAAACAAACAGCCAGCACCCCACACTCCCCAAGCGGGGGGCTCATCCGGGCGCGGGCTCCCCATCTTCAGTGGGGACGCAGGCAGGGATTGAATTTGAGCACCAAACCGGCGTCCAGGACGAAGGTCTGTGTGCGCCCTGGGGCTGGGCAGAGGGGACCGGCCCTGAGGACCCCCCCTGGGAACTGGCACTCCACCCCTGGACCTGAAAGAGGACCAGGTCCCCGGGAATGAGGGAGAACGACTTCTCCCCAGTTCATCCCCCTCAGAACTCTGTGACCAAACCGCCAGCTCAGGCACAAAAACCTCCCCCTCTCCCTGCTCCTGGGGATTCCGGGGACGCAATTGTGATCTAGTTCGTTTACAATCAATCCCCTTCCCGCTCCCCAACCACGATGCCCGCGGATTTCACTCCGCGTGCGTCGAAAGCCACACTTTCCATCTTTTTTCATTTTGTTCGGGTTTGGAAACAGGCACCAAACTAGCATCTCTGCGCGCCCAGGCCTTTTCCAAAGAGGCTCGGGGTGGCCGGCGCGTCCTCGGGTGACCAGCGGGCCGCGGGGACAGGCGGAAAGGGAGTGAGGCGCACAGGGGCCGAGGGAAGGTGTCCCCGCTGTGGGCTGTGGCCCCCGCGCGCGCCCTGGGTCCCCTGGCCAGCACCCCCGCCTGCCCCCGCTGAGCCCCGAGAAGCCCGCGCTGTGCGCCGGCTGCGGGGGCAAGATCGCCGACAGGTACTACCTGCTGGCGGTGGACAAGCAGTGGCACCTGCGCTGCCTCAAGTGCTGCGAGTGCAAGCTGGCCCTGGAGTCCGAGCTCACCTGCTTCGCCAAGGACGGCAGCATTTACTGCAAGGAGGACTACTACCGGTGCGCGCCCCCCTGCGCCCCGGCCCCCAGTCCCCGTTCCCTCGGCTCCCACACCTTTCGCCCCGTCGGGGAACG